TAGAATAGTTTAATTTAATTTTCTTTATGACATAAAACAGAATTTGCAATAAATAATTTTATTTTGAATAAAAGATACCTTTGAAAAATATTGTACATCGTAGAGAATCCAGCATTGCTGCTAGTCATTTGTTTGAATGCTTACTCGTCTTCACCATTCAAAAAGAAGGCACTGTACTTCTAATCTAAATTGTTTCAACTTCCAACACAGCTTGTATTTTTAGATTAAGTAGTGATTTCTTATGATTTTTTAAAGAATGTATGTTTAATTGCAGTAAGCTCTTCTTTTAATATCATCCTTGAGTATTTTGACCCCAACTATAGCATATGCACTTACAGCTCTTTATTATTTCAATAGCTCTGCTTTGCACCAGCTCCAGTTTCAAAATTCTCCTTCTTTAAGCACACCAAAGCCTATGACAAGACTCCTTACCAATGAGTATTAAGAAACTAACCCATCAGGAGACGAAAGAAAAGGTATTGCCAGAAAACAGCAACTAGTTCAAAGTTAGAAAGCAAAGAATAAGAAAAGGCCTGTTTTTTCAATGAGGTGCTGGGGTGGTTGCTATTTAGCATTCTCTTGCATGAATGAAAAGGGATGAACAGCAAAGTTAGCTGATGATAGGGAGTTAAGAGCATAGAAACTGAAGAGTCTCAACGATCTCATGGTGCCAAGTAGGCAGCAGATTAAATTCACTTGTTGATCAATAAAATGCTATATGCAGAGAGAAAACAAACAAACTTATTCCTGTATGTTCTGAATATGCTATTGTTGAAAGAGAATTGTAAACCCATCTGTAGTTACCTATAGACGTTAAGTTGGTTTTGGGTGGTGGGCAGAAAAGTAAAGGTGTTAGGAAACATTGAGAAGAATGAGATAGAGCGTCACTATACAGCTCCATACAATTCTGAGAAACTCACATTTGAGTATAAGCTACAAGTCTGCTCACCTCATTTCAGAAAAGGGAGTAGTAACCTAGAAGAACACAGACAACAACGGTCAGAGGTACAGAACTTCATCTGTATGCAGAGGAAATGAAATAACTAAGACTAAAGCTTAGAAAAGAAATGACTGTGAATGGTTATTATAAAGATCTATGCAATCGTGAATGACATGGGGGAAGTCTTGAGGGAATGATTATTCACTATTCAAAAGACACAAACCGAGGCACATGAAATAAAATGATCAGGCAGGCAGTTTATATCAAATGAAAAGAGGAACTTTTTCATGTTATGCATAATTACGTTGAGAAACATGGAGACACAGAGTTTTTTAGATTCAAAAAGTTGTGATGGGTTCAAAATGTGATTAGATAAATGATGGAGAGTTGCAAAATCATAAAACATGAGGAGGGAATTGTCAGCTTGGGAGCTGCTGGAAGCTCAGATACAGGGAAATCATCATTCCATCCCAGGCTCATATAATTCTTAAGAGCCTCCACAAATGGCTATCGTTAAAGTCTGGCTGCTAGGCTGAATGAATGTTTCATCTGACTCTACAGTCATTCCTATAATCTTTATGCTGGATGCAAATTCAAAATTCTAGTGTGCTAGTCAACCTGTACAAAATAAAGCAATCTTTCCACTTATGTGCATGCAGTGCTCTGTTTAAACACAGTGCTGTAACCTTCTTTGTTGCAACATGACACTAGAGCCCAAATCCCCACAAGCTTCAGGAACACGTTTTCCATAGATTCAGTCATTTGTCTTTAATTATTAATTATATTCAAACTCTAAGTTAGCTATTCCTTTGTTTTGCCCAACATCATATTCAGGCTCACAGACCTGCAGTTACTCATATTTGAATCAAACCTGGGCAAAAATTTGCATGTAATTTGGCTCTAGTCTGGATTTACATTGTATTTAAGTAGTTATGATCTGGATTGTGTAGCCTAAGGGCCGACTGTGTCACCTGTGTATTTGCATTTTGAAATACTGCAATACTGCATGATCAGTCACTTATCTCTGTTGTTTGAAGTTTAATCATCACTCATTTAATAGCCTGCTTCCTAAAGTGTCCTTATTACCCAATTTTGCCACTCTTCTCTTTTATACTGACCAAATGCAAATTAGTGCGTTTTGTTTTTTTTCTGGTTTGTTAAAGTAACAAGAAATGCACTACACAAGAAATAGTTTTTTTTTCATATTTCAACAGTATAATATTTTTGTATTAAACCATAATGGGAGTGCAAAGACTATTATTGAATCCTTGTTCTTTTTTTTTTTTTTTTTAAATATGGAGTATGAATGGGGGAGATCTTATATTGCTGTATACTGTCCACATGTATTTAACGTATGCATATTTCTTGAGTTACTGCATGCATTTCCCCACCAGTACTTTGAATCTTATGGGGAAAACTGCTTTGTTATTTATTAACTTGTGGTTGTCGCGCTTTCCAGTATACTCAGTGGCTAGGAGCGTATGCCTGTGGTTAAACTCTTCTATTTGTCCTGTTGTCATATAAATGTTTATTACTGTTGTGTACCACAGTGCTAAATGTTTTCACTCAAAAATCATGGTTCCTGTGTTGTGTTTCAACTTTATCTCAGCTTTAAAATTCAATATATTGAGTAAATGTAGGAGAGATTAGTATATTTAATATGAGAGCAGTTTTTGTAGTGTTGTTAAGTTCTCCATCAATTCTAAAAGACATTGATAAAGATTCAGAAGGACCAATGTATTCAGCAATACTAATGGGATCCTCTTACACGTTTTTGAAAGTTTCAAGAAACCTTCTGTATATCCTTTACTATAATGTTGAGTTGAAAGAAGAAAAAAAAATTAAAAAGTGGAGGATAAAGACTTGATTTCCACCAGCCTGCAGACAGTGAAATCAATGAGGTCTTTGTGATTGAAGCGAGTGAAGAGCCAACCTAATTTGACAGCCTGCCTCAAAAATTCTTGAGACAGAAAAGCAATAAACTGCTGCAGACTCAGAGTTCTGCTACCAAAAAATATATATAAATAAAGAAAAAATACCCTGGTATAAAACAACTGGAATTTTTTCCTTCATATTTAGATTTTTACCTAAACAAACAGCAGTAGTTGTGTTGGGAAGTTGGTACCTGTATGCAAACATATTAACAAAACGAGAAAAAGATGCTCTTAATACCTACGGTTTCTAAGAATCTCAGAGATTACATCAGGTTTTGTTGCTGTTTCTCATTCTCAACTGCAATAGCTCCAAAGGACTCTACTCGGACTGAAATTTGTTTCATGTCCAAGCACTCAGATGCATGATATGGACTTTAACGGTGCTGATTTTCAGGTGATGTTCACATGGATGACTATACTCGTAAATTCCAGTTTTCATTCCAAGGGTACAGATCTGCCCTACTTTTGACAATTCAAAAGAAACACATATTTAAGTGCAACATAACATAATTTATTTTATTTTTTTTAGCATTTAAAAGTATGAAAACCTTTTAAGTGCTGTGGGACAGGTATGCAGCTATTGAAATCAAGTTTGTACAGCTGAAGAAATCAGAAAAACTACTTTGATTTACAGTGGCTGCAGTTGCAACTTGCAAATATTTCTATAAATCTTATCTAATCATAAACAGTTTTAAAATTCAGTGGGAGAATTGCTGTAAAAACACTGCACATAATGCATATGTTTCTGTAACTTGCTGAATTAAATGCTTTCCTTGTGTAGAGTTAGTAAAAAAAAATAAAAAATAAGGTTGAATGTTGTCCTTTGTCCACAGTATCCTTCACATTGATATCAGTAAGAATTGTTTGTATGTGAGAATGTGTGACTGACCGTTTGTCAGTGGCAGATGTGAATTCATCATCTTCCGAAGAGGCTGTAAACCTCCCAAACTGGAGTTAAGGTTGCTGTCTGGAGGACTTTACTTTAAGGGCTATTTACTATCATTGCTGAAGCTGGGAATGTGAACACGTTATCCCATTCAAATAGATCAACATTTTTGCATTTTAGAATAATTTAAGGACTACTGAAAAACAAAGAGAAAAATTCAAATGTTGAGAGGCAAACCCTTTGTTCCTGTTACTCCATCGTGGCAGCATGCTGAGGCATGGTACGCTGGAGACACGGGCTCAGTGTTTGAGGGTCAAAATTGCAGTGACCTGATGGGCAGCCTCTGATGGATGCTGTCAGAATTGCCAACACATGATGGGTTTTCAGCTTGGGCTGTAAGAGTCAGTGGGGAGCAAGCCGGGACTGGCAGAGGCTCATCACTGCTAACTCATCCCTGCCAGGGAACACGAGGCTTTGTCTAATCGCCTTGTTGTGATGGACAGCCTTGATACTGCGAGGGTCCTTCCCTCAGCATGAGCTGAGAAGAGCTAATGTGCTCATGCATTAAACTTGTCTGACCTGCAAATAGAGAATGTGTTTGAGGAGGGAAGTTGGAGCTGAAGAAAATGCATAATCTGCTGTGTTTTGCTGGAATTCTTTGAATATTCATTAAGCCTGGATAATATGTTAGGTTACTAATTCAGGTCTTCCGGATTTTAATGTTATTTTTTTCTCCTGTATTGTGAGTTTGATTTGAATGGAATATAGTTTTCACTGTAGAAAGAAAAGGTTTTCTAAAACCCAGCTTGTCCTTTTATCTATAGTAGGGAACTCAATGACAGGATATTTTTGAGCTTCTAATTGATTCTTATCTGCTATCAGGTATCAAAGTAGATGATCATAAAATGTGACCTTATTTTTATGTGGCATAGTGTAGGAGTTTGGTTAAGTTGGAGAAATAAAAACACAAAAATCCTTATTAAAATAACTACCCAGAGCTTTGAATTCCACAACACAAATATGGTTCAAAATTTAGCTTTTCAATTATCTAGTTTAAGCAATAACAAACTATTCCCAGAAGTAATAGTCAATAATATAATAGCAAGACATTTGTTTTTTCAGTCCTAAAATAATCACATCTCAAAATCAATTGTGAAAGTCATTTACTGAAAATGATATGCTATGTGGCTTTTGTTACATTTGCCTCTTTTTTTTTTTTTTTTTTTTTTTTTTTTTTTAGGCAAGGAAAGAAAAAAGATGTCCTATCCCAAGGAATACAAGAGAGTTATCAAACATGGCTGTGTCCCTCTTGCCACTTTGATGCCAAGGGACTCGTCGAGCTGTAAACCCACATCATTGTGAGTATATGGTGTACACATACCTATAGTATCACAGTATTAAATCCCCGTGTCCCCCTGCTTTGCTTTAGAAATTGGTTAAATAACATTAGCTTTTCAGTCTTCTGCCCTGATTTCCATGTAGCTGTCTTCTGATATCCCAGCTGTGCAGATCTCCACTGCATGCGAGCACTGTAGGATTGTCTTGCCATCTGGTTTTACATCCTAAGGATCTGAATGAGTAATCATTCACTAAAAAGCATTGCCTAAAGTAATCCTTGACTCTATTAGATGGTTCCCTCCAAAACTAGTACATACATAGACATGCACTCAAAAAGAGAGATGTAGAGAACAGTAATAGCAAGGCTGGGGTCTGTGTGAGGGGAGAATCAGTGGGAGTATCTGGGTGTGAAAGTACAAAAGGGGCAAACAACAGGAAGGTGGTCCTCTGAATGGTTTATGTTAATCTACCAGGTTTGAGAGGCCATCAAGACCCAAGCAGACCTACGTGCAGTTTCACAAGGCACCCAGTTTTGGAGACAAAGGACAGTGATGACTCTTGATGGTTCACAGAGTTGGGACAGGATGGAGACACTGCTCACTGTCAGCTCCAGAAGGTCTCAAAAACTCCTATCTATTACCTGGACGTTGTTGTCAGCCTACAAAGAACCTCAACCTTTGTGACAAAATCTTGACACCTGCCATCTCTTGTCCTCCCTGTCATCATAACAGATCCTGGACCTCACATTTGTGGACAAGAAACCTGAGACACCACAGACGTCCAGATGCTGGTGAGTACAAGAATTTGAAAGCCTGAGTGAAACTTTTTTTGTTTGTGTTTAATTTGAAATAAGTTCACCTTCATCTTCTGTAAGATCTGAGGTGGGTATTTGCTACATTGCTACATTCCTACACATACACATACACACACAATTGGGAATGTGTCTCAAATATGATTTCAAATGTGAAGAATCTATACTTGATTCAAATGATCTGATTAAAAACACTGCCTTGGGCCCATTCCTTCAAGATGTCCCCCTAGGATCCTTTCTAGCAGTTTATCAAATACTTTACGAAAGTTACATGGTCCAAAGCACATACAGCCGTATGTGCACGTATATGTTTATCAAAATGTATATATTCATTTAATTCTTGCCAACTTCTGCCTTATTAGTAAAATCCAATTCCCCATATGCTGAAACAATGACCTTTATATTAAAATTCAAGGATTTATAAAACAGATGGTGGAGACAAAAAAAAAAAAAAAAAAAAAAAAGAAAACAAATAAAACCCCAGCTTGTCCGGCTGCAAGGACCAAAGTATGCATATTAAAATAATCTTGGAAAGCTGGCTGCAATAGCTAAAGCATATGGGCTTAGTTTGTTATACGGTACCCTTGAGTTAAAAGTTATTAGCATCTTCTCTTATGCTGTTCATGAATAATATGTAAAACGCTATCTGATGGTGTTGATAAGAGATTTAACATTAGTGAGTAATGGGATTCATAGGGTGTGTGCTGTTCATAGTGTTCAGGATTCAGACTGTTTTTCAGTAGAGATTCTGATATAAAGGGGAAACGTGGTATTTATGTGGCTTTAACTATGGTGCTAAATGTACATAAAAGAAAATCGGTAGGGTTTAAATAGCTGAAGACACCTGAAGAAAATTTATTTGACAGAAAAGCTGTCATCTGTCCACTCAAACCAGTTTCTTGGGTTAAAAGGTATTTATAGTCTTTTTATTACAGTTTGCAAAGAATTAAAGGGAAAAAAGAGTCTTAAATTGTCGTTAATCCATGTGACTGCTTATACGAGTATCATAGGAGGAACTGGCTTCAGAAAGGACTCCTACTTTCTTTTGTCTTCTATCCTGACTATAAGTTTTTAATTTGTAGGTTCTCTTCATTTTCTCCCATGAAGGATGATGTCTATGTAGTTGTTGTCTTGGTGGTAGTGGGTTTTGTTTGTTTATTTCTTGAATGATACTAATTTATTCTTCCCATATTCTAAGCTTCTTGAACACAAGCCAACTTTAGAGTGGTACCTGTCTATTTATTTGTATGTGCGGCAGTGCTAAGCTAATAATTTCTGCTGAAAAGAGATTGCTTTGCTTTGGGGATGTGGCAGTTTCTGGTCTGTTTTAGTGTTCGTTCAGGCTGTGGAACTTGTGTGCAGACTTTGCAGTCAAGCCTGTAGTCGAAGTATTTCCTAGATCCTGAGACAGAGTCTCAAAAATTTCAAAGACAATTTCTATGTATGTACTGTTATAATGCTTGAGACACGGAAATGTGTGATTATTGTATGATAACAGAACCAAATGCATTGAAAGGCAGAAAACATATCTGTTTCTTGCTTTCTCAATCCTGACTTGAACATGACTGAATAGGAGATGGAGAGTTTATACTCAAAGCTGTTGGTCAGAAAACAGTACTTGTAGGTACTTTGGCAGCTTACCACCTGACAGAATAATGTTGACCTTCTACTGTAGTTTCCATTTCTCTTCTGGCAAAGTGGACTTGCTGTGGGCTTTGTGCAGTACAGATATTCAGATAGCAGAATTTATCTAGCCTATTGTGTTGTATTAGTATGCTGCTGACAGCATCTTCCTTGTGCAAATAAAACATAAATGATGTCTTTAATTAGTTTCCTGCCATGGCATCCAACATTAAAAATGGTTGTCCTCAAACACATTTGTCACCCTGACATTTTTCTGTGGAGGCCATGGTCAATAACCTTTAAAGTATCAGTTACATTCCAAAGATAATTTCTTACGTTCCTTTAAAAAAAAAAAAAAAAAAAGCATAAAAAAAAGCATAAAATAATGACATTCCTCAGAATGACAGAAAAAAAAATGATATTTGCCCAAGAGTGAAACTAGGACCTACTGGGCTCTTGATTGATAGGATCAGAGAAAGAGAAAACCTTTGCCAGGTTGAAGGTTTCCCTTTTAACTGCTGTAAAAATATTTCCAACGAGAGCACAAATTTTCTTCTGTCTTGATAGACAGTGGTGCTCTGCCTTTCATGCCCCTAGTTGGTAATTTGTTTACATGTTAGTAATTTTATATTATTGGTGTATATGTCTTTCACTGACATTATTTTATGCAGCTTAATTCATTTTATACTCTAGTGGCAATTCCTGTTTAATTTAAATGCTGCAAAACCTAAACCATTCAAGCACAAATTTGCATTTGACCTGTCAGAGGAAATGACTGACATCTGTCATCCCTGCTCATTGTTTTGAGGCTTGGCAAGTTTTCTATGTGAAAAATTCAGATGCAATGATTGTTGTTGAAGATTGCCAGATGCAGTATCAACAGATAAAATGGATAAGACTGCCATTGGTTCAAATAGCAGTTGATATGCACAGCAACTTGCAGGAAGCAAATTGTTTAGTTGAATTTTGTCACTGCTCAAGCATTAAAAAAAAAATACAAAATACTTCTGTGTTTCACAAACGTGAAATTTAAGTCTTTTAAATTCAGTGAAAGTACTCGTACAGGATCTGACTATTAATTCTGGAAAAAATGCATTAATTCTGCATACTTATTATACTCTCATTTCCATCAGAGCAAGCATCTTCTGTGGAGTTCTGGTATATTCTGCTGCTGGTGGAGTAAGAGTCTCTCCATTTACCAGCCCCAGGCACTGATGATATGTTTTTACTCTCTTCACGGTCTTTTGCCAATAGTTGGCCAAACAATATTGAGTGTTTGTATGCTGAGGTATTGGCTTTGAAATACAGGATATCTTTAGCCTGCAATTGCTTTCCATGAGCAGCTGGGCACTAACTAGCAAAGGAACCCTGGGGGCGCCGAAGGGGAGCTTAGGACCCCAGAGCTGGAGGGTTGGAGTGCAGAGAGTGTTGACAACCCATGGACCTTCCCTCTGGTCTCTGTTTTTTAGTTTCCTATGAGTAACATGGTGATAATGATGCTTCCCTGACTCACAGGGATGTTTTGAGAATAAACACGTTAAAAGTGTGTAAGGCACTTAGTAACTATGCAGATGGGAGCTATAAAAGTCCTTCAGACAGAAAAACCTGAGCCTTAGCAGTTCTGTGACCTAGATCAAGCAGCTCTGATCCTGTCACTAGACCTGACTGAGCTCATCTCCCTCAACTGTGTGATTAGCTGGTCTCAGATGGAGCCCTAAAAATTTCTAGAACCTTTTGCAGCTTTTCCCTTTCCCTTAGGGTCTGGGCATGCCACTTTGCTTTAGTGATCTACAGGGTTTAGATTACTTCCTAACATACTTCAAGGCTAGTTTCTACCTGGTCTTCCCCTCTTGTAGCTGCTCTGCTGACACTGTAGCATTCAAGTATGAAAATAAAATAATTCATGTAATAGTTTTTTCTCTTCCAGAGGGCAGAATTAGATCTTCTCTAGAGGAATCTCATCTTCATTGTAGCATCTCTTGCAATGTGCAGGAGTTTAGCTGAGGGAGCAAAACATTTCATCCAACTCTTGGTATAGATACTGGAAAATCAGTCATGATCACAGGATTCTTTTCTGCAATAAATATTATTTTTCTATAATTTGTTCTAAGCATAGAAATTAGTGATGCATATTGCAGTTTTTCTATGCTGGCTTCCTGTTAAATGAAGACGGCAATTAAAAGTTAAGAATTTCCTTCTCCTTTATATAACATGTGATTTTTGATTTGCTACCAGTTGAAGGAAGTATTGTTGCAGCTGAGCTACATTTATCTCCTGTAGGTGACTTTTTTGTTGTAGGCATGTGATTAATTTGGTAAATTTGATAAACTGAATATAATATGTTGCTTGGAGTTGTGTCAAGTGGAGCAATTTTTTGAATGGTTGTAATTTCCAAGTGGTGTGTGAAGAGAAGCTTTCTTCTGAAGTTTTCTGTCTGGCGAAGTACAGACACCCTTTTCCAGCACATAGATAACAAAGGTAATAGATGCAATTGCCAGTTTGCTTACAGTGAGGAGAAAGAAAGGGAAGAGCCAGGACAACGGAACAATATGTCTTATGATGTGATTCAGGGAGTTTTTTAAAAAACAATTAACTTTCTTTTCTTTCCTACCCATCACCATCACATTTTCTCACATTTTAGCCTTGGAAATTGTCCTGTCTCTCTTTTGTTGCAATGTTTTTGTGTTGTCCTTGCACCAGGGACAATGCTGCAATGCGGCAAAGGGCTGCCCCTTGCAGTGGCTGTTCTGCCTGAGGTCCTGCACAGCAGCATGCCCAAACTAGAAGTTTGGGATTGCAAGGTCCAGGCTCTATCATCCAGCAACCATTCTTATTAGCATCAGAATTACACTGTAGTAAAGCCACAGCTCTAAAAATAGTGAATCTTTTCATGGATTCCTATGAGGAGAGTTACTACTACTGCTCTGGGAGAAGTCCTGGAGACTACAGAGTGATACAAATCAGTTAGGAGGACTTTACTCTTTTATCCATTAATATTTGTAGTTTCCTTTGAAGAGTTATTGTTTGCCACTGTCAGACAGCAAACACAGCTCAGGAGTTCTGTAAAGGGTATCTCAAACATGAGTTATCTCAGAAATAATGAAAGGAGTATAAACCAAATCTGCATTCCCCTGCAAGGATGGAGGTCATCAAGACATGAAAGATCTTTCCAGCTCTGATAATATCCTTCTTCTTCTGGACAGAAAGAAGTAGAACAATATGGTAAAATTCTCCCTAATTTATGAATTAGATGTAATTTTTCTGGGAAATGTAACCATTTCCAATGCAAAGGATGTCTTGTAAAAACTCTTTGTTCATGTTATACCTTAACACAAATGAAAAAAAAATCAGTGAAC